AAGCTAAAGAAGAAGCTGCAGTTTGACGCCCAAGTTTGACTGCAGGTTGATTAATTCAAAAGGAGGTTCACCTTAAAGCAATGCAGACCTCTGAGGCCTGGAACCTGCCCCATGGTTTCATCCTGCGGTGCATCTCAGCAGTCATCAAATACACTCTCTCCCTTCACTGAACACAGCTTCTGCAGCCGTCCTGAGATGTATTCATCCCCTTCTGTGAAAGAAAAGGCAAAATTCACACTCAAATAACTAGAAACTGGAAAAAGTAATAATAAATAAAAATTTGTTAAATTATATTTTAGTGAAATAAGAGGTTGCTTTTGAATTGTGGTTGAAAAGAATAATTAAAAAAAATAAAATACTGTCCTGGATAAACTAGAGCCCTTTGCTGGTGAGCAGTGGACCAGAACACCTGTCAACAGGTGCACAAGTCTGACTGAGAGTTACAGGAAACACCTGATGGCATTGATTGGCTCAGAGGGTTGTTCAGCTAGATAGCAGTATATGGGTCCCATCATGCTGGTTTGATTGGTTTTTTTCTCCTTTTCATATTTCTGTTGAACCACAATTCAAAAGCAACATCATGAAGTTCATTACATTTTTATTTATTATTACTTTTGTCAATTTCAGCTCATTTCAGTAACTGAAGCAGTTTTTTTTCCTTCTTTAATGAGAGGCTGTGAATACATGTGAGGACGACTGTAGGTGTGTAAATATCACTGTGTTGGCAGATTTTCACTTTCTGCATCCAGTTCTGGGAGACTGTAGGAAACTAGGAGCCCGAATGGTGTCGACTGCTGAGATCCACCCGCTGAAGTTCAAATCAGCCCAGTAGGACTCTGTAGCCATGACACGAGTAGAGACATTTAAATGTTTTTATGCGGACCAAAGAGGTGACTTACGAAACGAGTTAGTCTTTTTGTCCGTTGGCAAGCTGACAAAACCTAAAATTCAAATTAGAGGTAATAGGTATCATTCATCAGAATCTGAGCACGCTCAAATACAAGACGGCCTTCAGTGTAATTTCAGGCTTTTTAATATTTCCTGGATATTGTAATTCCAACATGTTCTTAAATTATAGTGTGTGAACAAAATGTGGTGAAAGTTGGCAGACGGGCAGTTTAAACAACACAAATCACAAATCTCTTGATATGTCAAGCTACAATTTCTCAAATATCTTTCTAAATATTTAATTTCTAAATATGTTAGTAGGCATGTTTCCTAAAACTTGATCCACTGATCTTGTTTTTTTTTAGTATGAAAAGAAAATGCACCATGCTTTTGGGAAAAACAATGTGCTAAAGGTGTATATGGGATTTTATTTTATTTTTTTTTACAGGTTTTTATCTCTGCAAGTATTTGATATAGCAACCTGAAAGTTCAGATTTATCTTTATAAATATGTAGATTTTATGCTATTAAAGTTTCAGACAAATTGGAGATAGTCGAGCAGAAACATTAAAAGTTTGACCCACTTATCTCGCTTTGTCGTACAAAAATAAAACGTACTGTGTGCAAATAAAAAAGATGCACTGACAGTTTGTCTGTAGGACTTTTGTTTGTAATCTTATCTCAGACAGTATTTGATATATGAAGGCAAAATTTCACAAATATCTTTCTAAATATCTATATTTTATGCCATAAAAAATGCAGGCAAATTGGAAATAGCTGAGCAGATTTTTAAAAAATAAAATAAAAAAAATCTGTCCTGCTAATCTTGGTTCATGGAACAAAAAAAAGAAAGTGCTGAAACTATGTTGATGGGATTTTTTTTTTTTTTTTTTTAACAAACTTTTATCCTGAAAGTATATTATATATGAAACTAAAATTACACAGATATCTTTATGTATATCCATATTTTATGCTATAAAAAGGCGAGTCAGAGAGACTAAAGAGACTATTCTCGCTTCATAGTTCACCCCTTTTTATGGATCTGTGGTTTTTGGTGCATTTAAGTTTGTTTAAAGGTCAAAAATCAACCTTTTTCCAACATTACCGACCTTCATTACTTCCTGTTTTAGGCGTTAGAGCAGGAGTGTCCAATCCTGGTCCTGGAGGGCCACAATCCTGCATGTTTTAGATGTTTCCCTCTTGATTCAATCGATCAGCTCATCATCAAGCTCTGCAGAAGCCTGATAATAATCCTGATCGTTTGACTCAGGTGTTTTGGAAGAGGGAAACATCTAAAACATGCAGGACTGTGGCCCTGGAGGACCAGGATTGGACACCCCTGCGTTAGAGGCTGATTTGTGATTCAAGGATTGTGTGAAAGGGGGTCATGAATGGATGTCCTGTCAACCGGAGGCCGATGAGACTCACAGTCACGCAGCAGTGAAGCAAAGTCGGTGTGAAAACGCTCCGACTTTGACTTTATCTCCCATCTGAAAATGAAAAGGTTGATGTAAATACTGCCGGGGCTGCAGTGAAACGTCCCCTCACAGCGATTCTGCTCCGATAAGATGAGACTTTAATGATCCCTGTGGAGGTTTTGCCACTTTTTACATCGTTGTGCTCAAAAAGAAGCTCCAGTGCCAAATTTAACCACCCTGCTGGTCTATACGTTGGTTAACAAAGCTGAGATCTTATCGCTGCAGCCTTTTCTCAAAGACTTGGCCACTTGCCTGCTGGGATATCGAGTCTAATCGGCTTCCACTGAAATGCCCTTAAACGCAGACTGAAAGCTTTTTCCATTTCTGTGGTATGAAAGAACTTCGCCTTTCGTTTGCATGCTGATGTTTGCTGACACACGACTGCATCTCGGCGTCCATAAACACGCCCTGATGACGCTGCATTCAAAACATGTGAGGTGGGAAAAGCTTCGGTCTAACATCTGTGATGATGAGTTTCTACAGACCTGACTGTTGTGTGTGTTTTTATAAATCCTGAAATGAATGAAATGTTTTGAGGGCATCTTGTGCAGAGAAGAGGGAGCTGCTGACTTTCCTTGGCCTCCAGCGTGGCCACTTGTTTTGGAGGATAAAGCTCTTAATTGCCTTCGGCTGATCTCATTAACGTAATTGAAAGCCGCTGCCCTTTGAATTCACAACTGCGCTCCAACTGTAGCGGTCAACTGATGATGAGCAGATACGAGGCTCAATAAAAACAGAGCGTTTCTTCTCTGAGCAAGCCTCAAGTGCCGGCTTTGTTGTGATGTGTGTCAAACCTGTTGAAAGCTTCTATGTCAGGGATCTCCAGCTCCGGTCCTGGTGAGCTCCTGTCCTGCAGGTCTCAGACGTTTCCAGCACACCTGACTCACATTAATGGATCTCCAGCAGCTTGTCGTCAAGTTCTGTTAACGATCCGTGAATGTGAGTCAGGTGTGCTGCAGCACGGAGATAGACGTCTAAAGCCCGCTGCAGGACAGGAGCTCACGAGGACCAGAGCTGGAGGCTTCTGTTCGATGCAGTGTGAACAACAAAGCTGGTGTGGATGTGTCGAGCCAGTCAGAAGCCTTTAAGTGCATGTTGATGAGAGGGTAGCGGAGTGTGTGTGTCGTGCTGTGGTATCTTTTGCATTGGCTGGTCCAACCGGGGGGTTGACTAAGAGAGTAGGGACTCTCTCCGCAGAATAAGACGGTGGCTACGCCCAACCAGGGCGTGTGGGACATGAGGGGGAAGCAGTTCTACGCCGGCATCGAGATCAAGGTCTGGGCCGTGGCCTGCTTCGCCCCCCAGAAACAATGTCGGGAGGATCTGCTCAAGTAAGTCACGGCAGTTTTCTTCATGTGCTCCTGTCACATTTGTACTTGTTCTAGACTCATTTTCACCTCCATGGAAACAGGACGAACAGAGAAAAGGAAAAAAACTTTTAAAATTGTTTTCCATCCACGTCTCCTCTCTGCTTTGTGTGAACACTGCCTGCAGTACATTCAGAAATCCCAGAATTTTTTTCCCTGTTCACTAATGGTGTCACAGTTTTTTAGTTTTTTACATCATCTGGACATAATCCCAACTATTTTTGGCAAGTTTTTAAAAAATAAGACACATATCTTAAAGCAGGGGTGTCCAATCCTGGTCCTCGAGGGCCACAGTCCTGCATGTTTTAGATGTTTAGATGTTCACCTGATTCAGATGATCAGCTCATCATCAAGCTCTGCAGAAGCCTGACACTGATCATTTGAATCAGGTGTGTTGGAAACATCTAAAACATGCAGGACTGTGGCCCTGGAGGAACAGGATTGGACACCCCTGTCTTAAAGTAATTTTGGTGAGCTGTCACAGCTTTTATCTCAGATTTGTTGGATTTTTAACTAATGTTCTGCATGCCATGCTGTTGAGAATCTGAGATTTCTTTGTTTTTACGGTTTGTCACCTTTATTTTCAAATGTGTTGAGCTGAGAGTCAACATTCCCCAGAAAATGCCTCCTACTGACACATTTCTCCCTGTGTGATTGAATAACTCCAAAGATTTTATTTATTTGCACATTTTTATGCAAGATTTTGATAAAATCAGGATTTTTGAGCGTAACGTGATGAGTTCAATGACAGTTAAAAAGGTGGAAAACCTACAATTCTTCGTGTTTTTGGTTTCTTGCAAAGATAAATGATGTAATTTTGCTAATGTTTTTTTTTTTTAAACTAACTGTTTAAACCTGAGCTGTTTTGAAATACAGGCTGATGATGCCTTTAGACAAAAAACCCACTTGCGCCACATTTTTTCAAACATTAACTTCTGTTTCCCATGAATGCAACGCTGCATGCTGACCAAGAATAAAAATGTGCAGGTGGTGGTAGGAAGTCGGTTTGGGACTTGAAGATGCTGTGATTCCTGTGTTGTTCGATATTTGCGTAAATGTGCAGCAAATTTCCGTGACTGGCGGCTTGTTGCATCATCGGTGTGTCATAAGATGTCGAAATCTGAAGACAAAGTGAGCACAGGTTGGAAACAACAACAAACGGGAAGAAAGGCGTCCTGCACTGTAATGTTTCAGGGAGTTATTGTACGAGTATTAAAGGAGAACCGCTCAGCAGGAGCTGTTGTTAATGGACTCTGATGTACCCTTAGTCAGATATAAACACAGCAGGCTGCAGTCTGAGTGTCTGATCAGGGAACTGTCACTTCCTCCTGCTCGTGATTTGGATGATTTCTAACAAGCTTGTTGTTGTTGTTTTTTTTTTTTTATTAACAGGAGCTTCACAGACCAGCTGCGAAAGATCTCGAAGGACGCTGGGATGCCGATTCAGGGGCAGCCGTGTTTCTGTAAATACGCCCAAGGAGCCGATAGCGTGGAGCCCATGTTCAAACACCTCAAGATGTCCTACGTTGGTCTGCAGCTGATCGTGGTCATCCTGCCCGGAAAAACGCCGGTTTATGGTGAGAAACTGGGAATCTGGGGGCGACTTTAGGAACCGACACGATGTTGTGGTGTGGAGCTAAACGCTTGTGGTCCACAGCGGAGGTGAAGCGGGTCGGGGACACGCTGCTCGGCATGGCCACCCAGTGCGTCCAGGTGAAGAACGTGGTGAAGACATCGCCTCAGACGCTCTCCAACCTCTGCCTCAAGATCAACGCCAAGCTGGGAGGCATCAACAACGTCCTGGTTCCTCATCAGAGGTCTGTGAACGCAGCTACGTGCAGACGTCTTTTAAACGTTTATGTCCCCCTTTCATCTGCAGACGTCTTAAAAAAACTACAAAAATGGAGGACAAGCAGCAAAGGTTTCACATTGTTTAGTTCTTAAAGTTTCAGACAAACAATTCGCCTCTCAGCCTAATCCTAATAACTTTATTTATACAGTACCTTTAAAGAATAGAGTTAGCAAAGGGCTTTACAGACGGGACGAAACGGAAAAGAAGGAAACTCGGGAGAAATATAATTAAACACGATAAAAGATTTTCTGAATGAATTGATAAAGCAAAACCAGAAGAAATAATAGAACCAAAAATGCCAATTAGGGAGGGAAATCAATCATAAACGCAAGGCTAAAAATAATATAAGTAAATAAATAAATGGTAAAAATAATAATAATTGCATTGATTAGAATTATGTAATAAAAATATGAACACAAAAAATTATAAAATTTAAAAACCAATTAAACAATAAAAATGGAAATAAAAAACGACCATTCGAGGACCGCTGGAAAGTTAAAAAGCCGACAGTTCTTTCGCTTTATACAGTTTGCTGCCTTTATTTTTAAATACTTTTTGCCTCATAGAGAATCAGATAAATTAGCTAGCACCCCCGAAATGATAAACTTCTCCCTGTATAATTGAATAACTGAAAACGATTTAATTTTGGCACATTTTTAATCAAGATTTTGATGAAACAGTCAGATTTTGTTGAGGGTAAAAACTAATACAGACAGATAAATATGAGTTAAAGCGCTTCAAGGGGATTAAGATCTCAAAAAAAAAGTCAAAACTATGCAAAGAAATGCAAAAGAAGGTGAGTAAAAGGTGATTTATTTGGCTTTTCTTGCTTTTTTCTACATTTACTGAGCTTGGAATTGCGATGCATCGTCGGTCGGTCGTTCCCAACGAAGTCGAAACTCGCACGAGATGGTCGGGAAAAAAATCCAGTTACTACATGATTTACATTATTGATAAGATTATGACAGAAGATATGAGCTCAAACTCGTCGTACAAATCTCTGACAGTGTGTCGGGGAGGATTTTTCCGTTTCTTTGCCGGGATGCAGATGTGAGGCTGGAATGCTTTTGTGGCTTCGAGTGGTTCAGATTGCTGCAATGTTTTTCCCAAAATAAATGGTCCCCTGGTCGTGATGCGGTGCAGAACAACGTGTGATGAAGTAATGAGCTGCATTGTTTTCATACATACTCTGCAGCTCGTGCTGTTTAAACTCTGAGAAGTTTGATGGTGGTTTCAAACCATCGCTGTGCGTTTGTGCTTCAGGCCGTCGGTGTTCCAGCAGCCCGTCATCTTCCTCGGCGCCGACGTCACACATCCTCCGGCGGGTGACGGGAAGAAGCCGTCCATTGCGGCGGTGGTCGGCAGCATGGACGGCCACCCCAGCAGATACTGCGCCACCGTGAGAGTCCAGACGTCTCGGCAGGATATGTCCCAGGTACAGACGTCTTCGCAGGACTTTACAGTCGGTTCATCCAACCGGACCTCTTCAGAATCAGCTGAGTTTTTAATCTGCAGTAAATTCATTTAACAAAACAAAGTTTTTGCCTTCTTGCTGTGAATGTTCCAGAGTTCCAGGTCCCTGAAGTCCACAGAGGAGGGTCCAGATTGATCACTTTAATCCACTTTTTCCATCATTTCTGAGCCTCAGAACTTCATCAGTACAGCAGATAGACACATGACATTTAGGAGGAAGAACACATCTGGGTTCTGGTAGAATCAGTATTATGGGATGTGTCATAGTGGTAATAGTGGTATTTTATTTGTTTAGAAGATTTATTCCTCCCAAAATACACATTTCTGTTTACATTTTTCTTGTTTAAAAGATTTATTCCACTTTACAAAATTTTAGTTTTAAATTCTCAGTCATGAATAGTCTGAAAATCAGTTTTTACCATTTCTGGCTCTGATGAATGTTTAATTTTGGCTTTTTGTTGTTGTTTTTTTTTAATAACCTGCATTTCAAAGCTTCCACCAGGATTTGGACTTCAGAGGATTCACCTTCAATATTGATCAACATTTTACTAACACGTGTCTTCATGTTTGTTGCTCCATGATGTATGTTTTGAATATTCTGTTGTGTGTTTTGTCTCTGCAGAGCTCTGTGTGACTTGTGTTTTATGACATTATTCATGAATAAAAGCTACTGTGCTGCTGGGTTTTGATGTTCAGGTCAAGATTCTTTTTAATAATCAGAGTTTGTTGTTGTGATAAATGGTGTTATTTTGGAGATTTAAAAAAAAAAACCACCCAGCAGATTTTTCAGAGAGATACTATGTTGAGTACTATTTTAAATTTAACTTCTGATGTCTGTTTTAGCAATTCTCTTGTCAACCTTTGAACCAGTTTGCTGTGTTTAAGTTCTCTCCCCCACTCTGATTCTAACTCTGACCCGTTTTGCATCTGCAGGAGCAGCTTTTCAGTCAGGAGGTGATCCAGGATCTGACCAACATGGTCCGAGAGCTGCTCATCCAGTTCTACAAGTCGACCCGCTTCAAGCCGACGCGCATCATTTACTATCGTGGCGGCGTTTCCGAGGGACAGATGAAGCAGGTCAGCGTTTCTTCCTGCTCGCCTGCAGCTTATTTTTGTCGCGTTTTGTTGTGAAAGACGCAACCGAGGCCTACAAGGCGGGAAAAAACGCTGAGGGGAACCTGTTAGAACCATAATTTAAAGATTTTAGGCCACAAACTGTGAGTGGAATAAACACAGAAAAATATGTTCTGGGTAAAACTTTCCAGGCTCAGATCGGCATGTGTGATGGTGGTGGGTCAGAACCAGTTCTAGACAATGGAAGGACCGTTTGACCTCCAGAACACACCAGATGGTCATCTATAGACAGGAGTCACTCTGTGGGGAAATAATTCTCTAATATAGTGGGGGAAAAAAAGAAGTTTAATTTCTTTGACTGTTCATCCCTCCCCCCAAAAATTGGCGAAACACCTTGAATCATCATTTTGTCAGATGTCCACAGATGTTACCAAGAATGTAGAGAGACAGAACAACTGCACAGCCACAAATAAACACAAAATGAGAGATAAAACATGACTACATGCACAAAACCAACAGAAATGGACACAAAACAGCAGCAAAGAGACGACTGTAAACACACGTCGTATGACTGCAAAGGGAGACAAAATAAGATGCAAAACAACAAAGATGCACAAAACGACTACAAAGAGACATTAAGCAAAGACAAAGGGGCACAAAACCAACACACAGTTACACAAAAGAAGCTCAAAGAGAGACAACATGACTACAAAGAGACACACAATGATCATTTAGACAGAAAATGACCGAACATGACTTTGTCTGGGAATTTGAAAATCGAACACTTCTGCTTGTCTTCAGTTTTTCGCTCTGATATGGTGTAAATGTGATGTGTTTGTGTATCTCAGGTGTAACTGTGACGTGTTTGTGTATCTCAGGTGTAACTTGTATGTGTTTGTGTCTCAGGTGGCCTGGCCGGAGCTGATCGCCATCAGGAAGGCCTGCATCAGTCTGGAGGAGGACTACCGGCCGGGCATCACCTACATCGTGGTCCAGAAGCGCCACCACACTCGTCTCTTCTGCTCCGACAAAGCCGAGCGGGTCCGTAGAGCTCACTCTGCTACGATAAGTTGGTTTATGTTGTGCGACACGACGTCCTGACTCTGATCCGACTGGTTTCAGGTGGGGAAGAGCGGCAACGTTCCTGCCGGCACCACGGTGGACAGCACCATCACGCACCCGTCCGAGTTCGACTTCTACCTGTGCAGCCACGCTGGGATTCAGGTGAGGTTTCACTTTGTTCTGTCGAATAAATTCAATGCAGCTTTTTGGCATCAGACATGTTTACTGACATTAAAACACTAAATCATGCTTATATTTGGGGATGCAGATATACGAAACGATATCAATAAATAGTTGTTGTTCTGGCGCTGACCCGCGATGCTTCACCTCCTCAGGGAACCAGCCGTCCCTCCCACTACCACGTCCTGTGGGATGACAACTGCTTCACGGCCGACGAGCTGCAGCTCCTCACCTACCAGCTGTGCCACACCTACGTCCGCTGCACGCGCTCCGTGTCCATCCCGGCGCCGGCCTACTACGCCCGGCTGGTGGCCTTCCGGGCCCGATACCACCTGGTGGACAAAGACCACGACAGGTGAGGCGGCGACGCACATAGTTTAAAATGCTTCTGGTGAATAGGTTCTTGTATTTGTAGATATAAAACTGTGCTAATGATACGTTCAAAGTTAGAGGCACTGAACACAAGTTTTTTTTTTTAATGGTTTGTGCATGAAGTCTCTTGTTTAACCCTCTGATCCGTAAACAGTAATTCTTTACTGTAGCTCATATTTTTTCTCACTGCAACATAAAGTCGTGCACCTCAGTGGAAGCAGAACAACGTGGAGGAGGAGAGAGAACTCAGAAATATGTCAGAATCAAACTGTTTTTTTTTTTATTGCCAAGTGAGCTCGCACACACAAGCAATGTGGTGAATGAGACCGGTACACAACAATAACAAGACGGGAATAAATGTAGAAATTCTAAATAAAATACGTAAAAGAGAAGCATACAAGTACTGCGTAAATAAAAAAATACTATGAAAAGAGACATGAACTTGCCCAAACCAAGTCATAAATTAGGAAACAGTTTAGGTTACATATTACATACATATATTTCCTTGCAGCAGGACTAAACCCGTCTCTCGTTTGTCTTGCAGCGCTGAAGGCAGCCATGTTTCGGGCCAGAGCAACGGCCGGGACCCCCAGGCGCTGGCCAAGGCGGTTCAGATCCACTATGACACCCAGCACACCATGTACTTTGCCTGAGCTCGACCACGGCAGCCAGTCCACCTGTGGATCCACTTTCTGTCTCTTTTTTTTTTTTTTTTTTTTTTAATAAGTACTCGAGTCTTTACAATTCTTTTTTTTTTTTTTTTTTTTAATCTCTCGTTTGCCAGTTTTCCCTCCTTCCCCCTCATCTCTCTCTCTCTCCTTGTAGTCTCTATCTCTCTTCACTCATCTTCTGAATCTGCACCAAAGCGGCTCGCGGAGGATCAAACCTGCTGACGGCGGCTTCCGTTCTAACGGACCGACCTCCGACCAGCGCTCCCGGTCGAGCCGCCGTCTTCAACCAGCAAATCCAGCGCCGCCAAGGTTTTTTTTAATTTTTAATTTTTTTTTGGCCGGGCCCAAAAAAAAAAAAAAAAAAAAAAAAAAAAAAAAAAACAAACAACCCTGAAAAAACAAAAACAAACCACACACACGCGTACTACAAGTTGAGCCATTGTTTTGTTTTTGCGTTTGTTTTTGTTTTTTCCTCTCTGAATGTCTGCACTCGTGTGTGTTTTTGTGAGATACACTGAGCGAGGGAGTCGGATCGGCACCGGCGCCGGTGTCAGCGCAGCTCTCCAGCTCTCCCAGCTAAGCAGGACTCTTATCTACTTTTACCTCAAAGCCCGCTCGGGCGAAATCTGTCACAAGGTCTTGGGTTTATCGGGTGGTGGGGAGGGAGCTCTACAGAGACGGAGGGGACTCGACCTTTTCAGAATGATATATATACATATATATATATTTTTCCTTTTTATGAACGTGTGTTTTAACTTTTTCTCCTTTTTCGGTCTTTTACAAGCGAGGTGACCTGGGTGTCCATGCCCATTGCTACTTTCCTCCCATCTTAGCAGAGTGTGTGTGTGTGTGTGTGTGTGTGTGTGTGAGAGTGTGTGTGTGTGTGTGTGCGAGCGACTGTGCATCTCTGTATATACGTGTACTGCTGTATGAGTGTGTGTGTGTGTGTGTTTCATGGCAGGCCACTGAATTGTAAAGGGAAAATCATGGAGATAACTGCTGTAAATGCCTCAGATTTGTTGTTTTTATATTCACACATACAGTACATATAAGCATATATTTACATCTATAGAGCAACTTTGAGACATATGACTTAAAAACAGGCCCGTCGGAGGCCGGTGTGGGTATTTTGTAGCAGCCCTGGATCGCTTACCGGCCCAAATGCCGCCGGTTACAGTCGGATCACGGCGGAGGTTTTTTGTCGTTGAGTGGCGGAGAGGAGACGAGTGACTTGCTGCATTTTGGTCGGTAACTGAGTCCAGGTCTGACGTGTAGCAGTAGCACCCGTGGTCTGGCCAGCCCAAGGCATTAAACACACTTTTATCAGCTTCCTGTGTTTGGAAAAAAACTTATTTTTCTTTGGACCTGATTATATGAAAGATTATACGATGACACTGCTGGACTTTTTTTTTTTTTTTTTAAATAGTTTCAAGGGCCGGAAACCAACATAGTGTTTATTTTTCTCCTCTTGAGGTCTCCTTTGCTAATATTGGCCAATTCATTGCACTGACCCGGGACGCTAGGCAAGCAACAGAGGGCACTCTCAATCTCTCTTTACCTTTATGCATTTATACATACGAATCAACAAATCAGATTTGTAAAAGTTTAATATAAGATGTTTTGTGGTTATCTTAAAAAGAAGAAAAGAGAAAAAAAAGCGTTGTTTAGGAACTAGTAGTTTACCATCGATGTTGTTGTTGTTGTTATCGTTGTTGTCAATGTTGTTACTATTGTGATGAAATTTTAAGGTTCGGCAGCAGAAGCCAGTTATTCTAGTTACTTAGTGCGACTTCAGGAATAGGTTCAGTTGTTGAGCTGCAGGTTTAAGGGTTGGAAACTTTATTTGTAGCATTCTGGCGAACGGTGAACGCGATCGGCGGCAGCGGGTTCGAGGTACCGCGTAGCGCTCGGTTCACCCGCCGCCGCTCGGTTTTTTAATTCGATCGGATGGATGGAGACAATCAGGAAGTGTGATCGGATCGAACCCAGATGGAGGGATTTGTTTATAAAAAAAAAAAAGAAATCAAGCGGTTTGCGATAGGCAATGAGTTGAATTTTTAGACTTTTTCAAATGGTTTCTATTACTCTGTGTGTATTGAAGTATACCCATCTTACTATTTAACAGTGTTCGTTTCATATTTTTATGCATTTTTAACACTGGATTGAATTGACAATAAGCATCAGCACTGCCCTCGGACCCCCTGCACACAACACACTTGTGGCGCCCCCTGGTGTCGGACGGCGGGACGGGGAGGGGAGGGGCGGGGTTTTGGGGCAACAGTCGACGCGCACGCCTCATCGGGGGAGGCAGCTCAGAGGAAAAACGCTTTTGTAATAAACCGCCCGTAAAGCAGCAGGTTTACTATGAATGAGTTTGAGCACCTTCCGGCTGACGGCGTGGGCGTTGGCGGCGAATCGTGGCGGTGGTGGGCGTGGCAGGGGGCGTGTCCAGGCGTTGCATGCAATACTTTGTTTAAAGATCAGCTTTTAAAACGTGCACTAGTTCTACCGAGCCGAGCGGGCTTCGATTCAGCATCCATATCTCCGGAAGCGGAGTATTTAATCCGACATTACGAAGCAATATTAACCCCGTTTTTTCAAAATGTGGAACATGAAGCTATAATTCTACTCATTGTGGTTGTTGGTCTCCTCTCGCTATTGTGCGTCTTTTTTTAAATTTTGTTTTATTTTTTTTAAATTTCGTATTTTTCGGTTAATTTTATTTGCTCGTATCAATCAGTGGGAATGTGCATTTGGTGGAATAGTTACGATTTTCTTTCTTGTAGACTTTGCTCGCCTGCATGCCAGAGTATTGTCCTTTCAAAATAAAAGTAAAAAAAAATAAGAAAAAACCTTTTTGGAATCATATTTATTATGAGAAAATATAAACACTTTTTCTTTTTTTTTTTTTTTTTTTTTTTGGGTAAATGTTTATCGATTTTAGTGGGACTGTTTTAGGCTAGCAATATGTGTTCGGTCTCTCGAAGATGTATTTTAAAGATTCCTACACAAGCGGCAGTGATGTGGGAGGTCCAGGCTGTTTCCTCGGGGGCGGCGGCGGCGGCGGCGTCTCTCTTTGCGTTGAGTTCCAATCCAAACGAGGTACTTTCTTCAAACGCGGACCCGTTAAAGAGCGAAGCCTCCTCCGCCTCCCCGCCGGGTCGACCGACGTAGCGAGCGTCCAGTTTCCGTCTCTCCTAGTTTCCTGGTTTTTCGCGCCCCGCGGCCGCCCTCCCGTTTCCATGGCAACCCCCTTTCGCAAACGCACTCCCCTCTCGGTGGAGGGGGGTCACCGCGGCGTCGACGGAGCAGGATTACCTCTTTTTAACCTTTTTAAACAAATGAGAAAACAAAAAAGATCCATAATTCTTTCTGTGCCCCGATAGAAAGAGAGCATGAATTATTTTTAAATTCCTCTCACTTTGATATATTGTTATATCTGGACGGATTTGTAATTTGACATTGTGTACTGTTGTATCCTCAGATTATTTTGTTCTCCCTTCTCGGTTACTTTTTTTTTCGTTGTTGTTTTCTGGGGGTTTGTTATAGCTCTGCTCTGTTTCCTTTTTGTTTTTTCTGCTAGTGCTCTCTGAAACTGTGTGTGATCGTCTGATAGCAATAGAACCACAGAACCCGGGCTGTTCCGGTTCTGGACGGGGGAACCTTTTTGATTGGTTGTGGGGCTCGTTGAGGCTCCGCCCTCAGCAGACCGCCATTCACTCGCTGTTATTGCTATTATGTGACATGTTCAAATACTTTTTTTTTTGTTTTTGTTTTTTTTTTTTTTAGCCTGCAGGGAATTCTTGTGTTAATGTGCAAAGTAATAAATTGGTATTTTATGCCTAAAACGAAGCCGTGTGTTCTCCTCATTCCAATTTCACATATTTAACCATTTAAAAAAACTCTTCTCTGTGCGTTAGTGACATGTTTGGACATTGAATGAAAATACAGCAGTGAGTGTACAAGAGAAAATTAAATAAGTAGAAATGGAAATGTTAATTTTTAAGACTGAAAACAGCAAATACCGATTAAAAAATATTTGTTTTGATAGCCTAAATAAACATCATATGGACAAATTAATGAGGTAAATAAATATTTTTCAGCAGATATAGTCAGTAATGTTCATAATTCATTTAAGAGTTCAATAATTTTTCTATTAAACATTTTCTGGTTCTTAAATACGACGGTTTGATGCTGTTGCTTGCTTAATGACTGTAAACTGAATTTCTTTGCATTCAGATTTAAACGACTCACGTTGGCCGTCAGCAAAATTATGAGCATTTTCATAATTTTCTGACAATTTCCTTAAAAAATAAAAGGAGACATTGATGAGATGCCTACTGGGTGGTTCTAAATTATTCTTGCATTGACCGTACACTTTCCCCACTGTGGGATCAATAAAGTTTATCTTTATCTTCAAAAAAATGTCTTTAACTTAAGCAATGATAAAAAATAATACGTTAAACTTCAGGCTATGAAATTCCAGAAATCTGAATCAGTGCTGGTGAGACTGTCATCAAGGTGGAGCCACTTATTTTACCAATAATGTGCCTTCTAGTAAATAAAACCCCAAATGGACGCTTTGAACTGTTTTTAGTGGAGCGACAGCTGATCACCGTTAACACCAGAGCCCTCCTGTGCATTTATTCAGCCACTAGATGGCGTTCTTCACCAGCACAAGTGATCACAGGATGGCTGAGAACAGAAGAACTATTTACCACCCCGATGGTCGCCGATAAACACGTGAACGGTGTGAAGATGTTGAAGTTCCTCATAGATCTGTTCCTACAGTCTAACCAGTGCAGATGTTGTCCTACTGAAGAGGTTCACAAGAGAACACCAGAACATCAGAGGCTGGTCTGGTGCTGCAGCTCTGAGCCCAAACTGGACATTTAAATACGAGAAAACATCCAAATCAGACATTCTGGCTCATTCAGAACACGTGAATCTAACTAATGATCATAACAGCAACTTTAATCTATTATCAGTTTTTATTTTCTTATTATACGTCCTTTTGA